TGAACTTTATAAAGAATTAAAATTTTCATAAAATTCTAAGAAATTTTAAACTACATGAAAATTGAATTTCTCATCAGTGATAACTGTTGGTAATGATTTAAATTAGCAATTATGTGCTCTTTTTTTTCTCCGATAATGTTTTTGTCATTTAAAACAAAATGATCCCATTTAGTGTTAATAAAGCAATTTTACCGATGAAATTTCAGAATTGAAAATTTTGAAAATTATAGCTGAATTGCTGTATTGCGGCAAAATGCCGCAACGGAATACATACGGAATACATTATGATCTAATTTACATTATAATCTAAAATAAAATACATAATGTCAAATTCTGACACACATAACAAATAGCATCGTGAATTAATGCATTATTTGCTTGTTGATTAGTATATCGGAGGTGAAACATATCCAAAATTCGTAAACACAAATAAATCATTCATACGTTTTCCTACAATATTTGATGGCCTTCTGGTTAATAAATTATTTAAAAATGAACTTTTTAGTAATGAAAAGAATGAATGATTGAATTGAATATTTCACGTAATTTTATTATTATCACTTAAATATGATAGATTGATGAGTTTTATGTGAAAGTTAATGCTTTATTAGAAAATTTCCACAAATCCACTAACTTTTATTATTTGATTTATTATCATAAAAGCACTAGGAAATAATTAAGCTAATCACAAATTAATACAAAAGTGAAGTAAAATTCACTTCAATCATAGTTAATTCTTTTTTTTTTTTTTTTTTTTTTGTTTTAATTATAGTTGATTATATATTTACTAACTTTGTTGTTAAACCATAAAATTTCAGTTTTTTGAGTAATCTATGGGTGTTTAATTTGTACATTTTAGCTACACAAATATTCTTTTATTGTTCAGAATTGCTTAAATTCTTGCTTGCGTGTTATCACTAATAACGTGACATTCCGTGAGCCGTACACCATTTCAATATGTTAGCATATTATTTCAATATAATTTCAGTTTATATGCTATTTTACACAACACATATACTTGATAATAAAGCTTTATTTAAAGTTTAAATTATCAAAAGATACATTTGTACTTATCACATACATCATAAACTCTCAGTATTATTTTACGTGATAACGTGATACTGGAACTATTTCGAATTTGATTTGATCAATTTAATTAACAGTTAACAAATATCTTCAACTCTATCACCAACAAATTATCATCCACTAATCTGTATTGCACAAAATTTACATAATGAATTTTTCTTTTTGAAAAAAAAAAAAGCTTTAACAAAGTAAATTTAAATCTTTTTAATCAGATTTGCTACTTATCCATGTTTATCAGTTGCATTATACTAAAATTGATAATTATATTTTGCTGTATAATTCTTCTATTATTCATATGTATTACATTTAAATGTTTCATTTTTTCCTTACAAAATAAAATGGGGCACAATTTTATGATTCATTTAAAAAAAAAAAAAAAAAAAGAATTATTGATCCATTTGCACTTTAAACAATTACTTTAACAAAATTTCAAACATTAGAAGCCATAAAAGAAAAAAAAAAACAAAACAAAACAAAAGCGCCAATAAAATGAAAGTTTCCAAGCAAATAAATTATATTTCTATTCTATAATCGAATTTTCTTATAACTGTATTTGTATATGTTACAAAATCAATAATCAATAAAATTGTTATCGTATTTGAAAGGAGAGGAATGCAAAAGCTATTCAATGTGTTACTAATGAAATAAGTTAATTTAGACAAATATTAGAGTTACATAAAATAAAAAATTTTATATCATTTTGCTATTTAATAAGAGTCATTAATTTTAATTTTTTGTCAAAAGTGCAATGTGTTTATGCAAATTTGTCACAAAATTTTTTGCATTTCTATTAGAACAAAAAATGAATGGAATGGAATGTAAAATAATGTTTTTCGCCGTTTTTTCTTTTAACTTTTTCTTTTTTTTTTCTTTTTTTTTTTTTCAATTTAATGGTATCGTTTATATATTTAGTTACAAAATTATTTTGCATACATTTTAGATGATTTTATGCGCACTTTTTTTTTTTTGAATTGTTGCGTGTTTTTTCTTTCTGTGACACATTCACACTTACGTGTGACATTCATTATGCACGTGGTAAATCGTTGTAAAAAGTTAAGTATTGTAAATAATTTGCGTGAATTGATGAATTGAAAATTACGAAAATAGCACAGATTTTAGGATTTAATTATATAATTTTTTTGATTTAAGAAAAAAATTATTATGCAAAAACAAATTTATCAATCTTTCTCATTTTTTTTTTTTTTTTTTTGTAACAATAATGGTAATTAAAAGTAAATAAAAGGGTAGCTAAAGATTATAGGCTATTGATTAGCATTGTAATCGTTGGTTTTGTAATGCTAATTATAGAATTAACAATGAACTATTATGTTTATTCTGAATTCAATTAATTAATCTAATTAATTCTAATAGTTAACACTTTTAGTTACTCTATCAAATTTTCATTACCGCCATCTTTTCTATCTTTTATTTTAATTCTTCGTTATCTAAAGATCAAAGAAAAGGATATGCTTGAAATATTTGCCCATCTTAATATCTTACCAATATATAATTTATTTTCACAACTATCATTTATCTATAAAAAATGATAATTTATTTTAACTTTATAGTGATAATCTTAATTATAGTCCATAATTATTTTTTTTAATCTTATAGTGATAATCTTAATTAACTTTTTTAGACGGAAGACTTATCACAAATATGAAAATGATTATACATTTCGAGATGCTCATGTATTTAGCGGATTTTGCTAACTTTTATTGCACATAGCATTTACGGCTCTACACGTACTTACGACATAAACAATATACAGTATACTTTTATTCATGAAAGAAAATAACGCTATTTAAGAAATGGAATATATTTCTACCAAGAAAAATTCCTGAAGAAATTCTTGATAATAGCGTAATCCAATCTTTCAGAAATGATATTTCACGGAAATTTAATCAGTGATATTAATACAAATATGCAAGTATCAAATTAAATAACCGATAATACTGTTTTTTAACGCAATAGTTACTTTTTAGTTTCTATAAAAAAAACATAAATTATTCTTTCTACTAGTAAATGAATATGTAATTTCATCGGATATATTGGTATCCGCACATGCGGCATTCAAGAATTGCAAAATTTTCCGCAGATTTATTTACATAACCTATACGTTTCTTCTATACGAATAATTTAGTATTACTTAATCTAACCATAATATTTGACAATCTTTTTAACTTGACAATTTCACATTCTAGTGGGAACTTTAGTGCCAAATCAGGAATGCACTAAAGTAAAGTAAATTCTGTGACAAGTAAAAATATAATGTAAAAAATTGTTTTAACAATACAACTTGTGTTCAGCTATAATACACCATATCACGGAAACGTGAGACACACGTAATTGTAAGCTATGCGATAAACAATGAACCGAGTAAGCGGAAGTGAGAAAAATTCAAATTTTAAATCATTTTTATGAAGAAAATCTTCAAAATTATAATAAATATTTTAAGTCAATTATATTTTACAGAAAAATCTTCAACAATATTTCATTTCCTAATAAATTTCATTTTCTTAACAAATTAAATTGAATTATTATCACGTGAACGTAATCATCATATGTTAATGATGAAAAATAAAATAGCAACGATTTTATTTAAAGTAACAAAATAGGACAAAGTGATGAATTAGCTTTGAAGAAGTTTCATAAAATGATTAGCAGTAAATCTATTTTTAAAAATTGTTAACTATTTTCTTTTAAATTTTATCTATTTTAGAGTAGAATTTTTCTTTTTTCACTACTGTCTTTAATTAATCTTAATTAAATTTATTAAATTTAAGTAAGCATTGAATCTATACGCGCCATTATTAGAATATGGCGGTTTATTAGATAATGCATTGTAGCAGAAAATTACACTCTGCAATCCACTCACTGCAAACGACCATTAATGCATAGACAAAAGGTCAACTAAAGGTTAAACTGCTATTTTGTAGCACTAAACCATTTCATTTATTAATGTGAATTTTTCATTTATAAGCAATAAACAATGCAATTATGCACAATATATTAGCACAAAAAACTGCTAAAAAATTATTTAATTTATATTTATTTATTCATTTCATTTCAAATTATCATTTCTATTAATTTTTCATTTTTTTTTTTCTTTTATTATTTATTTAATTACATTTCATATTTTTCATTTGTGCTTAAATTGCACTTTTTTTTTTCCTTTTATATAGCATGCTCTTCCTCTAAAATTATTTCGATGATTAAGCATACCATTTAATGCTTACATTACTTAGCTTAAAATTGCCCACCTTATAATATGATTGCTACAAAACAGAGAGAGAGAGAGAGAGGGAGAGGGGACGAAAGGGAGCAAATAAGTATATGTACATACCCTTATGCATTATTTTGTTCAGGATGGAATATAAATATCCTTATGCTCACTTTTTTTTTTTTTTTTTTTGCATAGAATATGCAAATTACTTATTTTTGATGAAATAAAATTTTTACATAAAATCTGTTTAATTGTTTGCCTTTTTTAACATTACATAGTGTTTGCATTACAATAATTTTTTTAATTTATAATTTTTAAAGTCTTTTTTTTTTTTTTTAACCTTAAATAATTATTTTATTGAAGTATAAAAGCAGCAAAAGGAATGTTAGAAAATTGAGAAGAATGCTAGATAAAATTTAAGTGAACTGTTAAAAAATTCAAAGCAATTTATAGCATTATTTAATCACTAGCTAGATGAGTTAAATGATTAATGAAATGTGAAGTGAAAAGATAATTGGACATCGTTGCTATGTTTGTTCAAATTAAACGCTATTGACTTTAAAGCTAGCATTATAGTTTTTAATTTAGAATGATAAAATTGCAATGGTTAAAATTATCACTTATTCTTTTTATTGTATTTATCATTTTCATCACTTATGTCTGTTTACGATGGGGAATATTTAATGAAATGTTAATTTTGGAACGAGTTTTTTATGCAATAAAATTGGTAAATTGTTTATTTCTTTAAGCATCGTCCCTTCTTCTTCCTTCCTTTTTTTTTAATTCACTCTTTTAGATATATTTCTTCATTTTAGTTCCTTAAAAAAAAAAAAAAAAAAGAAAAAAAAAGAAACGAAATATAATGAGATAACGAATAATTTTCACTTTTTGAAAATATTTCTATCTCTTATAAATTAGACTAGACTAAAATCAATTTAACTCAATTTTACATTTTCATCTGATCACTAAAATATTTCAGGATCATACATCGTTGACAACACCACCATTAATACTTACGTGGACAAAATTTTTTAGCCAATCATGGGCTCAGCGTATTAAAAATGATACTAATGATTGCTCTTATCAATGTATAATTACTGATGATAAAGAGTAAGTGAATATTTCATACTATTATTTATTAATATCAATAAGTGATAATAATATTTGGTATTGCTATTTTACAAACGAATAAATTATTATTTTTTTTTTTTATATTATTTATGTAATTTTTTTTTCATTACTTATGTAACATTATATAATATATATTTTGTTATATTATTGTAATATTATATATTTTGTTATATTATTTTCATTATTTATGTAATTTTTTTTTTTGCTAATTATTTTCATTATTTATGTAATTTTTTCATTACTTATGTAATATTATATATTTTGCGCACAGTGTATTAATTGCTAGAAATTATTAGAAATCTAGTTCCGTGATTCAATTCTAATTAGAAATTTTGATATTAATCGTATGCACTGATAATTCCGTTGTGAAAATAATTGCGCAATTCTTTAAGATCAAATCAGTAACATTTCTTTTTTTTATTCTTTTCTCCCTTTCTCTTTCTTTTTTCTTTTTTTTTTTTTTTTTTCGTATAATAGAAGACTATAAATTCTTTAACATTTTATGTTTTAGAAAAGAAACTTGCACTTGCATTGTTGAGTGATGTGATGATATGATGACGAAAGTTGTTCATAGGAATTTTAAAATGAACAAACAATTCTTAAACATACATTTACATTGATTGATTGGAAGTAGATCGTTTTAATTAGACAAAAAATTTTGCAAATGATACGATCATTGGTAAATTATAATATATTACCTAAACTATACTATCATTAGCAAATTATGATGTATTACGTTGAAATGTTGTTTACTCATATTAATCCGTTTATTACTGATATGTTGATAATTTGATATGATTATTTCAGACAATTGTCAGAAGCTGTAGCCGTATTATTTCATATTCGTGATTTGGAAACATTACCAAAACTAAGGAATTCGAAGCAATTATTTGTATTTGTATTGCATGAATCACCTCTGTATACGTTTAATAATTTGGATTTTGTGGCAGAAGATTACTTCAATATAACGATGACTTATAGGTTTTATCATAATAATTTTAAAACTTCATTTAAACTCTTCAATCTTTAGTTAAAATTCGAACTGATAGATAGATTTTTTTTAGCTTAATTCGAGTTAAAGTACAAATGTTTTTTTTTTTAATTTATTTGAAAATTTTTAAAACATTCAAATAAAAATAAGTGTATATTAATTTAATATTTTAGTTAATTTCATAACATTATTTCATATATATTAATTACAAATTAATTTCGATTCAATTATCAAATTTTTGAAATACTCTAAATTATTACTGTTATAGACGTGACAGCGATATTTACATACCATACGGTATGATGAAAAAAATAACCAATCTTACACCGAAGGAGCAAATTTGGGATTGGAATGAAGTTTGTTTTTATATTAATCGAAATTGTAATAGCTTACAAATACGGAATAATGATAAATAGGAATCCGGCATTAAATTCCTGATATATCTTTTTGTTTTCTTTTTTTGATCATTAAACCATTCCAATGATTTTATTTATCAATTACAAAACAAACATTTTCATATGTAAAACTGAAAATTATTAAGATACAAAAATATTTATTTAAAATTTATCAAAAAATTCTTTAAATTCATCAAAAAAAAATAACATTTTTTTTATTGTTTGTTTGTTTTGAAAGGTATTAAAGATAGCAAGTGGCAAAGTACAACCAATTTTACAATTAGTTTCAAATTGTCAAACTAAATCAAAACGTGAATTGTACGTGGAACAACTTCGAACGTATATAAATATCACGCAGTATGGACGTTGCAACAATCAAAGTTGCGATGAAGAATGTGAAATAAAAGAAGCTGGTACATTTATCGTTTTTGGTTTCTTAATTTAACTTTTTACGCCAATTTTTTTTTTTCTCTTTTTTTGACCTTTAACTTTTTTATTTGATTGTAAATTGCAGCACGACATCGTTTTTATTTGGCATTTGAGAATAGTATATGTCGTGATTATATCACTGAGAAATTATTCAAATGTTTCCTAAGATTATTGATACCAGTGGTGTTGAAAAAATCAATTTATGAGGATATTTTACCGCCTGGCTCATTTATTGCTGCAGATGATTTCACATCACCACGTGAACTAGCAGAATATTTAAACTATTTGTTAAATAATAATACAGCCTATTTGAGGTATCATTTTTTTCTTTTTAATATATTATTCTTTAAAGGTGTTTAATTTTAAAATATGAATATTTCAAAAAGAAGTATCTTAGATAATTTTTTTTTTTTTTGCGATCAAATGATATGAAACATTTGATAATCTTATAGAATGATGCATTATTGATTTATTCTATGGATTGATTAATCAAATTATCATTGAATTATTTGAAGTATTTCTGTTTTGTATTTTGACCTTTTTTTCGCTAACTGTCGCCTTTTTCTTTTTCAGTTATTTGAAATGGACGAAATATTATCAGAAAACATTTAATGTAAGCAGTTACTGTGAATTATGCAAATATCTTCATAGTGATATTTCTAAGCCACGAATAATTGCAGATATCAAAAAATGGTGGTTTCAAGGATGTATTAAGGATTATGCAATTGACTTATTGAAAAGAGTTAAAAGTATCAGTAATTTTTAATTATCATTAAGTTATTATTATTGCCAGAGTTTTATTTGTAACTCTTGGAAGAAGAAACGAGCAAAAGTAATATTAATTAGTATTAAATATGATAAATTTGATATCGGAAGTGATAGCTATACGTTTCTGGTGATATTAGCAAGACAAGTATAATCAAATAGAAATTTTTGAATTCCAACACATATCAATGTTTGTCTTTACATTCACTTGTTTTTATTTTTTCTGTAATTTATTTGTCGTTTTTTTTTTTTTTTTTTTTTTGATTTAAATAATTTCTATTTAAACAAATGCATTAATTTGACATTTTTTCGTTTAAAAAGTGAACTTTGATTTGAATAAGAATACTTATTTGTTATGATTTGTTTTGATGAACAAAGCAGCAAAATTAAGTCAAAGAATGAAATGATTGTAAAGATGAATGTTACACTAATAAAAATGTTTATCGAAAATTATCGATTATTGTTTTCGATTAAACTATTCGAAAAATCTTCTAATATCATCTAATAACTGCCTTACTCTTAGAAATCATTGTAAATGGAAATATTTCAAAATTTAATTTGCTATCTTTCAAATTCTTACTGATATGTATGATAAAGAATATAATAGTTAAAATAAAAATGAAAGGATTACTTGTTTTTTGTAACGTTGTAAGTAATTACAAGTGAACAGTTTTGAAAATTTGTGACTGATAAATGTGATGCAACATTTTGAATTCAATGTTTTATATTTCAAGTTATTAAGTGTTTACGTCAGGGGTAGCATAGATTCATTTGATCAGCAATTTGATCAGCAAAATGACAATGCGACAATTGTAAATGTAATATGTTGAAAAGGAAAGAATTAAATGATAGAAAAAGATGATGGAAGAAGGAAGAGGAAAAAGAAAAGAGAAAAGGAAAATGAAGTGATGAAAAGGGCAAAACTGCTTTGACAGTAAGAAGTAGTAGCAGCAGCAGTAGCAGTAGTATTAGTAATAAATTCACCTATTTAAATAGCAGTGAGAATTCATTCAAATATAGTGACAAGAGCAAAAGATGACGACGATTGAGGAAGTTGTTGCCATAACAGGTGGTAGTGGATTTCTTGCGCAGCATCTCATCTTCTGTTTACAGCGAGACAATCATCTCGAAAGTACTGTTGTCGAGATTCGAACTATTGATAGAAATTCATTCAGCAAATTTCTTGGTACTATAAGTTACTTTTTTTTCTTCTTTTTTTCTTTCTTCTGAATCTTTGTAAAAATTAACTGAAAATTTATCTTCCATGACATATGTCATTTAAATATTAATTTTATTACAAAGATAATCGTTTGATAGCTTTCTCTTTTTTTTTTTTTTTTTCAATTTTCCTAAAAAAAAAACGATGTAACTGTCTAAGAATTAATCGATTCATTAATTCGGCATTTATTTCTAAAATTTAAATAATTTACTTATTACCTAATTGATATGACTCTTAAATGGTATACTTGATTGTTGAAATTTCAAAGCAATAAAAGAAATGAATAATAGTCATTCAATATCTAAATAATATTAGAATTTTAAATTATAAGTTTTAATAAAATTTTTTAATAGAAATCTTTCAGGAAAAGAAAAAGAATAAACAAATGAAAACAAATATTTTTGTTGCTAACAATAAGTAAGAAAAAAATGTTGCAATTTATTAAATTTATTCATGAAGTTGTAAATTAATTAGAAATACAGAAAAAAAAAAAAAAAAAACGAAACTCATATTTGTTGTTTATTTCCAAAAGTTCCATTTTTTTCTTGTACATAAATTATCAATTTCCTTTACTAATTAAAAATTTTTAATCAAAATTTAAAATCTGTAAATCTATTGCTTTCATATTTTAAAAAAGTTATAATGAATTGCATACCTTCTATAACCTGTTTTATTCCATTTTGACGGTCAGTACTCAATTAAAAAAAAAAAAAAAAAATTGGAAAAAAGCTATGATAGATCTAATTTTATATTATTTTAAAATAAAGCATCCATTTAAAACTAGATTTTGTGAATCTTTTGTTCTTAATTTTATTTTGTTTTGGCTGCTTCTTTTTTTTTTTGCATTTTTTTTTTTCAGTTATAAAAAAGCTTTTTAATAAAAACAAAAAAATGAAAGATAACACATTTTAGTTACATTTGGTATTTTTCCTAAAATTCTTTCTTCTTTTTTTTTTTTTCACTTAGTTCTAAAATAGAGAAACTTCACACATTTCGTCATCATATCAAAATTTAAAATCTAAAATTTTATGCTTTCCTACTTTGAAAACTTGTAAGTACATTACTTTGTCTTTCAATTCTCTTTGTTTCATTCAAATTTTTTTTTCTCTTCCATGATTGAATAACTAATGAAAAATTAAAAACAAAACTCACAAACATACTTAAGAGAAAGATTGATTTCTCTGATAGTGTAGAAATTATTAGCACCTATTCTTTTTTCAAATATTTAAAGTACTTACTATTATATTTCAATTAAAAAAGAGAAACATACAAAAGCTTTTTTTTTTTCTCTTTTGCAATACGATAATAAAATTTTGTATTTCCTTTTATTTTTCAAGGAAAAAAAACTCTGTTTTTAATTTTTTTTTTTTTTTTTTTCTGTCATCAATTAAATAAATTCATATTTATTAAACAAATATGAATAAAATACTTTTTTTTAACAACAGATTTTGTCATTTTATTCAAATATGATAACAATTTAACAAGAAAAATCAAATATAATAAACGAATTTGTATGTGTAAAATATTGGAAAATATAACTATAATTAAATGGTATGAAATGTATAAATTGAAATAAGAGTATGATTACTTCAAATTAATTAAATTTTTTACATTTTTTAATTATAGATTATCCATCACGCATTCCTTTAAATCATTATCAATTTGATATTTGTGATGAAAAAAAGCTTAAATTAGCGCTTAACTCTGTAACAACCGTTTTTCATTGCGCTGGTAAATCACTGGAATATTTACATGACGGTATAAATCACACTGATCAATACTGGCATGATAATACAAATGGTATAATAATAATTATTACTATTATTTATTCATTTAGTTCTAAATTTTCTTTTTGAAAACTATTTGATACAAAATAAAAAAATTGCAAAAAGAAATTTTCTATTTCTTTTTTTTTTTTCAAGTGAATAAATTTAATTTTTTGTTTAATATAATTGAAGTAATACCAAAAAATCTTTTTTTGTTTTGATTATAAAAAAAAAAAAATGAAACTTTTAGGAAGAAAAAAAGAAATATTTAACTGAGAAAATTGAATAAAATTTTATAATTAAAAATTTTTCAATTAATAAAATTGAATGAAATTAATAATTTAGCAACGGAAATTCTATTAAAAGTTATGCATGAAGAGAAAATTCCACATTTGATTCATATAAGTGATGCATATGCATGCCTGCCAGTGGGTGACAATTATGGCTTATCGGAACAGATGCATTTGAATTTTCCAAATAATTTTATGCTTGGAATTTATGGACAGTCAAAAATGCGCTCAGAAATGTGTGTTCGAAAAGCTGCTGCTAAAGGTATGAATGAAATTTAATTGTTTAAAATGAATAGTAATAGAATAAATTAAATTTTATTATAATTCTGAGAATTATCAATTAAAAAAAAATTTCTTTGCTGTTGATAAAAAAAAAGTTTCTTATTCTTTGCTGTTGATATGTCTAATATGTAATAAAAGTTTTATTTGCAATTAATTAATTAATAATTAATTTTGTTACATATATACAGGTAATTAATTTTAAGAACTAATCATTTTCTATTTTGAAAATTTAGCATAAATTCTTCACCTAATACTCTTATATGACTAATTATGATAAGATAATTTCTTTTTTTAAACCTGTCAATATTTATTTATGCTTAACCTTCACTATTGTTTATCTATTATAAAGTTAAATTTAAATTTATTGAATTAATTTTTAAGGTCAAATAAATGCATTAATCTTACGTCCAACGTTTATCTATGGTGAAGGAGAAAAACATTTGTTGGGTTCAGCATTAAAATTATGTTCGATATACGGTGGCATTCCATATTTACAGGATGACAGTAGAGGACTTCATCAATTTGTTACTTTTTATTTATTATTATTTCAATTTTTGCTCATAGATCTAATCATTTTATGCAATATTTGTATTATATATATTTATACGTTCAAATTAATTTATTTATACACTTAAAATAATTTATTTATATATTTAAACTAATTTATTTACATATTTAAACGCATACGTTTACAGCGTATACATGCGAAATATACGTTAATACTTGTATAAACCAATTATTTATATATTTATATGTGTTTTATTTATGCATCTAAATTAATTTATTTGTATATTCAAATTTATTCATACATTTAATCGTATACGTCTACAGTTATATTTACACGTAGTATACATTCAGAATAATCGTAACGTGATTCTTTTAAGAGAGAATTGAAATGAATTAATAATGAGTTGTTTTTTTTTTTTTTTATTTTGAAATGATAATTATAATTTCTGGAATATTTTATTTTAATTATTAAAAAAGAACTTTTTTTTTTTTAGCTTTATGCGGGTAATATGGCTGAGATAATGAAACGAGGAATGATGTGCTTGAAAGAAAATCCGGAAAGATATAACGGCGAAGTAGTAATCTGTATGGATTGTACACCATGCATACGATTTGTTGATGTAAGTTAACAATAGATTAGTGCTATCAGTTATCTAGCTTCATAAGCTTATCAGTTTCTTAGTCGTAGATTTATCAGTTATCTTACTCTATAAGCTTATCAGTTATGTTACGATATAAGTTGATCAGTTATCTGTAAGTTTATCAATTATCTTATGTCATAAGTTAACACACACAAAACTAATATTATCAGTTATTTTACTTTATGCTTTTAGCTATCAATTTATTTTATCATTCCACCTTTTTTTTTTTAAATTATTAATAGCATTTTTATTCATTTTTGATATGAAAAATTAAAATTTCTGTTTTAGTTTATGGTACCATTTTTGGAAGCGAAAGGCTTAAAACGTATAAGCACATTAAACTATATGCAAGCTCATTTCATTGCAGTATTTTATGAAATTCTAAATAAATTTGCGCCAAAAAAATCATTCGGTCATTTGACATTATCATCAAACAAATTTATCAATTGTAAGTTGAAAAATACTGTTATACTTTTGAAATGAATAATTTCAAAAAAAAAAAAAAAAAAAATGAAAATAATAGAAAAGGAATTATTTGATAAAATAACTTCTTTTTTCTTTTTCTGAAATATTAAAATATTATTAAGCTGTATGTAAGTTTATTTTAATGATGGTAAACTCAATGAATTATTTAAAGATTAAATGGTCTTTTTTTTTTGTCTTTCTGTTTACATTTCTCTTTTTATAGTCAAAAAATTTTCTAGCATTTTAATTATTTTTCAAAAATTTATCAAAAAATATACTTTTAATTTTGCAAGAGTATTAGTAATAGTATTAGTGGTAGTGGTGATTAAATTAAAAAAATATTTCAGGTTGGACGATAGGATTTTCCAATCGTAAGTTACGTCTATTACTTGATTTTGTGCCACCGTACGAGCAATCGCAAGCAATAAATCAAACATTATGTTGGTATCGCAAAAATGGACAAACAAATAAAAATCACAAGAAGACAGTTGAACTTAAGTAAAAAATAAATAAATAAATAAATAATGAAATAAATAAAATAAGTTGCTGATATATAATTTGTGATGATGATTACTATTATCATTAACGATATTAGCATTAATTATACTAAGTTGATAGTAATAAGATTAATATTATCATTGATAACATTGATAGTGATAATAATAATATGATGTGCTAATAAAAATTTTGATAATAATGTATGAAAATGAAAAAAACAAAACAAAAAAAAGTGAGCATTACAAGAGAATAGAAGCAATTTATAAACATTGTAAAATTAAGAAATAACTGATTTTGATAAATAATTAATCGATTATTTGAATCATTATAATTATCATAAAATAATTCAAGATAAAATATTGCAAAATAGCAGTAATTTATTTAGAAGAAATTTTTATGGGATCAAATTTTAACTACAAAATGAAAGAAACAAAAAAAAAAAAAAGAAAGGAAAATAATTTTATGAAAAGATGGAAATATTGAAATGATTGTAAGCAAAATAATTATTCATAAGATTATTTAATACGCATTTTTTTTTTGATTATAAGATAGGAAATCATTTAATAACCATAAGACATATACGCTTCTGCTGCCCATTCCTCAATGAAGGGACCCACACGAGCGTACGTACACTTACGTGAACTAACTATAAGTTAATTATTTGCTGATAAACGATGTTAACAGTGATAAGTGACAATCACCAATGCAGTATAATATGGTCAATCAGAAAAACATAATTGATTGATCACTAGTCAAAAGTGGAAAGATTGTAAACCTACTTGTTTTTGTTGTATGGACAGATTTCAAATTACAATTGAATTTCAAAGAGAGTAAAAATTGAATATTTAATACTTATGTCAAACTAATTATCATACCACATTTCTTCATTGCAATCACTATCACATTGCTTACAATTATTGAAATATTATATATCATATATAAAAGTAGAAGTAAATGTTTACATAGTTAATTTGAAATTATTTGAAAACTTAAAAAAGAGAGAAATTAAAAAAATCGACAATTAGCATTTGCAAAAGTAATTGGTTAAGTTATAATCAAATAAAACTATTAAAGATAAATGATAAAAAAGTTAAATGAGAAAAAATTTGTGATGTAATAGAATCATTGGTTTAAAAAGAAAAAAAAACGAAAAATTGATATTTTCAAAGTAATATCAATTGATTAGCAGATAGTATGGCAAAATTGCTACGATTTGAAATATTAATTAAACGAAATATTAATTAAAAAGTGTCAAATCAAATTTAAAATATTCAAAACAATGATTGGTTCATATCATAGAATAATATTAAGTAATCAGTTATTGATAAGATGGAAAATTCGCTAATGAATAATGATGTAAAGAAAATGAATTAAAATAAAAGAAAAGAGAAGACAAAAAAGATTATTTTGTTTGAAGAACATTTTGGAATTAAAAAATAATCATTATTTAAAGAGATCGAACCGGTTATGTCACAAAATATAATAATAGATCTTCGATCATGTCTTGATTGATAATCAGTATCATTGGTTGATCATAATTAATTGATAATAAGTATCGATCAACGATTCTCATTAGCATGATCAATTTTATTTTTTTAGGATTATAAATGAATTATAGAAAAAATATAGAATTATAGGTGATAAATGATAATAAAGACATAAAAGGTGAAAAAATTTTTATAGCAAAGACATAAATTCTCCAATCAGAAATTTCACAAATATCTCATTTACTTTTAGAATTCGATTCCAAAAAGTAAATGAAAGTAATTACTAGACTATATAAATGTAATAGGTATATTATCAAAATAAAATTGATGATAACAATGGGATTGATAACTTAATGATAAAGTACTTGGAAGTAATTAATATTCTTGTATAGTGATAATATCCATAATAATATTAGCAACAAATATTTGAATAAATTTTAGTAATGACAAATTTGACATGAAGCACAGATTGAAATGGATAACTGATACTAAAATAATTAATTGATTGAGCATAAAACGGTTATCAGTTATGAAACTGATAATCAGTGTTGCTTTTCTTACTATTAAAATTCAACTCATTGCTTTATACAATAGCTAGATCTATGTTTTATTGAATAGCTTGGATAAAAATGCAAACTGATTTAAAAATGTATAAGAAATCATTCAATTCTTAAATGTTATCATTCAATTCATGATAATTCATTTCAACAATACAAAAAAATTAAATTTAATTAATTAATTAATTCAATTTGACAATGTTGACAACTGCTTATAAAGTGCAAATCTTAATTTTTTAATATATATTTATAATTCTTTACTGACATATATATATAAAATTTTTGATGTATAGGTATTGATAGTCTATAACACATGAAAAATCTTAGTAATAATTAAAAAACCTATAATTTTTCTCATATTATTAATTGTTTACATTTTTTATTATTATTATTAGCTATTGTCATCAATTAATATTATTACTTTCATTATTGATTATTATTATCAATTAGTAATATTACTTTTATTACTGTTTTGTTGTTAATTCCTAAGAATGATTGATTTCTACTTTTAAAAAGACAAATTTCAATCAATTTAAAGGAATCGTCAACAAATATTTTCCAACAAGTGCTTTCTTTTATTAAATCATACGAATATCGCTTTTACTAGCAAACAACTTTTCTCCTTTTCCTTCTCTCTCTCTCCTCCTCTCTCCCCCTCTCTCTCCTCTCTCTCTCTCTATTGGTCAGTGTCGTTTGGTTGACAACGGCGTAATGTTACCAACCGGTAGCCATGGTAATTTTCTCATCATCATTTGGCTTGTATCACCATAACTTATTCTTTATATTTACAGATTTTTTCTATATTCTTATTAATTTTTATTTTTTAAAAATATTTTCTTTTAAACATTCCTTTAATTTTATTTTTAAACAATTTAATATTATTTGATGCCTTTTTCATTATTTTCAATTAATAAATTTATTCCTACTTTTTTTTTTTTTTTTTCCTTTTTCTTCAAAATTTTTTTAGCAAAAAATTTGAAGAAAAAAGCAATTTTTCAAAAATTTATTATCTAAAATTGATTCCATAAAAATGCTTTTTAAATGAGAGTTATATTTATAAGTCTCATTTAAAAAGCAAAAAATCATTTTAAAGCTCAAATTGATAAATTTTAATGATAAATTTAATTGGCACATTTGTTAGCTTTTAAAAATTAATTAGATTTTGTTCACTGATTTCTTTCATTCTTTTACTATCGCTTAATTGTTATTTCCCTATTTTTCCTATTTAATTGTTTTTGTTTAAAATTCTTCTTCAATATCCAAGAATGTAACGTCATTTTATTTTAATTTATTTTTACTTGAAAACTAAAATAATTAGATAGCAATAGCATCGCAAGCAAAAATGCTAATAATTATTACTTTAATTGTTTATTTAGATTGCTACTCTGAAAATTATGATTTGGTAAACAACTTTTGATTTTAATCTTAGTTACAAATAGGAATTTTCAAGTATTAAATCAAATAATTAAAAAAAAAAAGAAAAAAAAAACTTATTCAACATAGGTTAAACTGTTTTGGATGATTCAACCACAAAATTCAATATTATTATGATAATTTTATTGCTACAAAATTTATTAAACAAAACAGAAAATCAGTCCAAATTTTTAAAAATTTTTCAATTATAGAATTAAAATATTAAACTTAGTTCGTGCATTTATTAGATTTTAAAAAATAAACAAACTTTGCTTAATTGAATTATTTGTGAAATTTTAAAAGTTCTTCCAAATAATCTGAAACATTTTTATGTTCAAAAATTTTTCTGTAATAACAAAGTTAAAATGATAAACAAATTAATTTAAAAAAAAAATCTCTTTTAATAGCAGTAGATCTATCATTGTTTATTTTCAGTTCTTCCTTCTTTTTTTTTTTTCAAAACTATATTCATCACTTAAATTTTCAATCTGTAAAAAATAGAATTTAATTTTAAACCGACAATGAAAATTACTACAGCAGAGCAAATTGTAAGTAAAAAATTCTTTGTTATTTATTTGAAAAAAAAAAAAAAAGAAAGAGGAATAAAGAATAGAATCTTTTTTTAACTTTACGTTTGTTTGAAAGGGAATCATTTTGAGGTAATTTCGATGCAAAACTAATCGAAATTTAATTTAAGATGAAAAGATGTAAATTTTTTAACTTTGAATTTTCCACGATAGTACAAATTCACTTTTATTTTTTGCATTATCAAAACCAACTCTGATAATAAATTAAAAAAAAAAAAAATCTTGAAAGAATATTTTCTGTTTTCTTGCATTTGTAATTTTTTTAAATCTCAACCTAAAATCAATTTTCAGAACAAAAAAAAAGACTAGTCAGCTGACTACTTAATTTTAATTATTGTTCACATTGTCAGTAATACTATTATTATTTCAAACTAATCATCATTATCATACTATCATAAATCATTGATAATAATAATAGTAGCATTATAATAATTATTGTTAATAAAGTGATCAGTTAAGTTTTATCATTTGTGCTTCTAACTTGATATTATGCTTTTATTCAATCATATCATTATTAGTTATCACTAATATAAGTATTTTTTCCCTTATCATAAACATCTAATTTCATTTCATATTTATGAATTTTTCCTTTATATAATAAATTTTATGACTATTAATCAAATGTTGCTATGGCAATATCCAATGTATTTCATTTCTGAACTTTGATAGATTTAATTATAAAATTTATATTAATAAGAAATACTTACACATTAGCATGACAATACGCATGCAGCAATTGCATTCGTCATGTTTATATAATTTAAAAATCTCATAAACATATTATATCACTTAAAAAAGGGAAAAAAAAAACGAATTTAATTATAAGAAGTTTAAAAAGAATTCAACTATCATAAGAAATAAATTTATGAAATTAAAAAATAATTAAATGTGAGGAAATGTGTTTTTTTCTTCCATCAAAAATAAAAATAATATCGATAAACTATTTTGCCATTTATTTAT